TATGTCCCTATGTAAACTTGCGAAAAAGTTATATTATTTTCGTAGGTTGTGATTACTACTTGTGCATAGTTACATCTACGAAGCGATTCACGTATTTTAGCGTATGTCGGATTCATTAGAGGCTATCATGATAAATTATTAATTGTTGACTTTATGCTTTCTTAAGTATACTTTTAGAAAAGAAAAAAGGGTAAGCAATTAAATTCAAGTGAAAAAAGGAGATGATGATGGCATTAGCTATGCACCTATTTCAGGTGGCACCACCGAGTAAGAGAAATTTTCCCTCGCTGAGATGGTCGGAATGCATGGAGCTTTTTAAGAAATTTCTTTTATAAATCAAAAAAAGATTATTGAGAGTAAAATTATTAAGTGAATCAGTAGTTTGATTCTATATTATTTTGGTATACAGAAATAGATTTTTTTTAGTGTTGTCATGTGTACTACAAGATTGGAAAAAATAAAAACATGGATTGGGACTGTGATAATACAACATGTATAAGCGTGTATAAGTGCATACACATGCTTGCACTTGTGTAAAACTTCATATACAAGTAATCCACGAAAATGTAATATAAATTGTGACGTTGCACTTTCGCGCCCTGAGACACTATAGAGTGTCGCAGCCAGGGCGGTCCCAAGACAACGTCCAAAGACACTATCGCCAATAATCTCGCCAAAGTCCGCCGTATCCTGAAACTCGAAAAACAACGCCGTCCCCACGCTCACGATGTCCGCTGCTTGGCCCAGGAGACTCGTCTCTGAGGAGGTCCTGCCGGCAGTAGTCCGTCGGGATCGGACTACCCTCCCAAGGAGAAACGAGGCACGACCTGTAAATTCTGAAGGAAGGAAAACACGCGCACGATAACAAACGAGTTAATGATTTTAAGAACACTTCACTTTATTTTGGCGAACTTTTACACGTGGGCTTTTAGGCCCGAATCTTGGCGCAATCCGGCGCTATCGCAATAATCCGCGACAATCACGCTTTCCCCCGGACTCTCTTGTTCTCGCACTCCACGCTTCCTGGGGGAGTCCCGCACTACTCGATCCCCCAACACACACGTAAGGACACTCACACGCTCGCACACTCTACTTTACTCATACCTCCGGGTTCACCATGTTCCGGGTCAAATGAGCTCTTGGCCTGCCGATGCCCTGGTCTCGCAGATGACAACTGGGGGTGGCGATGGTCCTCGTCTCCTCGGTCGTCGGTCGCAAGGTCGTTCCCGGCTGGCTTGAAAAAACTGATTCTCCGCTTTTCTCCTTCGCTCTCTCTCTCAATCTGTGCTACCGGAAGCCCGAAACTCGGGAAGCTCTGGTTCGCTCGAAGGCTACTGCAAGAGTGTCGTTAGGCCCACCAATTAGTGCAACCTCGCGCATTACCACACTATATCTCTATACATACTTCTGATTCTTACCGCCAGGACATTATTCATATGCACTCGAACGCGACGCAATTTACAATACATACTCTTAATACATACAATCTTCGTCGATAAAGAAGTACTGGATTATGACATTGGTGCGGTAATTACAAATATTCTATAATACGCAGAACTATACATTCTTGGGCTTTTCTTCGGTGCTATGTCTTCTCTTCTCTCCTTGGCGCTACTCCTTGTATCCGATTACGCTCACGTAGAACATGAAACACACAGACCCGGACCTTTATTAGCTTCTTTTAATTCAAAATAGATTCCACCTTGATGACGCGTTTCGGCGTTTAATGCTATAGGGTCAGAGAAAAATGACTATCACGTCGAAAAAGCTAAAATCAATACTTTGATAAATAAGTAACAGAAATGACAGTTTCGAATAGTTGCGGAATAATTGTTGCCCGCAGTGATTGTTCCCAAACTTTACAAGTCGACGGATATGGAATAAAAATTTTTGCATATTAACTAGTGTTATTGGATTTATAGATAGTATTTAATTCTAATGTCATATGCATAAAGATTGCACAGATTTAGGCACAAATATTGTGGACGAAAATGGGATTACCAAAGGAGCTCTTAAGAGTAGTTGAATACATACTAAAGTGTAATTAAAATAACTGCTTAAAAAATCCAGACAACGTTATTATTCATCTACTTTGATACTTTTCCTTAGATTTTATAGCTATTTCTGAGAATTGTGCCCAACAGGCTCTGAAATGTTGTGTTACTATGCATATTTATGCTATCGTCATTGGCATAGTAAAACCGCCTCAGATTTAATTGTGACATCATTCACCTATACATCAAAGGGGCGTTATTTTCCATGGCTTCTGAAAAACACTACTTAAATACAGTAGTTATAAGGAAATTAAATAATTTTATTGAAGTTAACAGTACATAAATGTGAAAATTGTATTATACTTTATCTACTTAAACACAATTAAAACACACATTTGTTAAATAAAAATTTTTGTGTTTGTAAATTAAGTGGTTGAAGTTGCTTATTCACCAATAATTGAGTAACTGTGTATTTTTATATTAAATAAATTATATAGACAACATAAAAAGTTAAAAATAATTAATTCACATAATTTAATAGTTCAATAAATTCCTGGAAGTAATATCATGTAACTCTCTTTTACTGCCCAAATCTTAGCAACGCTCAGGAAAACATCATGATTTTCCTTTATCGATAAAATTAACATACGTTCATGCTTTCGTCATATATCCGTCAGACAAACCGAAAGTTTGAAACACAGTACTTAAAAGTTATCACTAAAGCTATTATATACACAAAATTAAAAACTCGAAGTTATTTTAATGTATGTCTCAACAATAAAACGACGGGGGGAGCCGCAGTAAAGTAGACTGGAGGTATAATGACGACAGAAGGCTTACAGCAGATGGCAAGTTCTATTTCTACATATAAGCGTGAACTAACTCAATTGCCGCTTAGCGATTCAGAAACCTACACTTGTGTATAGTGGATTATAAAAGACATAGTCACCTTCTAGTATCTACATACTACGTGTGTAGTTCTTCGATTATAGGTTTGATCACTGCAACGAGGTACATATCAAGGCTCTATTCAGATAAGCATTACAACTGGAAGTGGAGTAATTTTGAGACATTTATTGTGTTATAACATTGTTAATGTTATAGACCAAAGTCAAGCTCCAAGTTTTCAAGTCTTAACTATTTGACTAACGAGTTAGACACACCCATGCAGTCAGTAATGTTGAGCTTTCAAGGATGGCAGGACCCACTTACTTTTCTACAGTGGACAAAAGCACTTATTTTTTTTGTCATACTTTCAGGTATGTGTAAATAAATAATTTACATTCCTTAAACACAACTGTGATTAATGGGGGCCATTTTGCCGCTAGGGGCCATTGTCATCACATGGGGTACTCCTGTACATTTCGTACATCTATATATTACTCACATAAAACATCGATATACTAAGGCGTGATAAGTACCTCATGTGATAGCGAGCCCCCCAGCGGCAGAAAAGCTCCTATACATAACTATCACTCTAATTTTTCTAGCGCAATAGTTTTCAAAAATTATCTAAATAGTAAGAAGGCTCTTGCAAACCTGATGATATCTATTCTAAAGATATCAAGCTAATTAGTTAAGATTATCAAGTAACAGACGACAAAGAGACTCTTGTAACTGCTTACGTCTAACGAAAATATCTTGATTTTTTCCACGATAACCTACATTTTACTAGAGGAAATCTCAAAGATGAAGAATTTTTTTTCAAAAAATTTATATTTTTGTCAAGAGAACATGCTCTTAAAGTTGGGTTACAGCCAATACATTATAATGTTTCGAAGCACGGCTCCATAAGAGTAATGTTACGTAAAGCAAACTTTGGCATCGAATATCTTGAAATTTTCCATATTAACGAAAAAAATGCGGATACCGTTAGACTCATCATATTTTTTTCTGTAAGAAAAATTACTTTTCAGTTACGGAAGATCTGTGCAAGAGCCTCCTTAATATTGTAATTGAAACTAGTACTGATAGTGCATACACATCGATCTTTTAGTATTTCTTTTGCAGTATAGTTCAACAGATGCATCCATTAAAAAGTTAGTGAAGGAAAGCTTTTACAACATGTGTCTCGCCAGTATTATAAATATCTTTCTATAAATATCATGAATGTTACAGTTTCATTTGACTAATTTCATTGTCTAAAAAATTTGTTAAGTGAAAATATAAAATCTTAAAAGAAAAAAACACTCTCTTGTGCCAAGTTGCAGCTTCTTAGCTATTGGTAAATTATATTGTGTATTTAAAAAAAAATATTTTTAAATAAAATCAAGAATGATTATTAATTACAAACTTACGATGTACTTGCATAATTATTAGTAAATATTATTCAAATTAACTTACTACTCTTTAGGTCATGTAATCTATTATTTTCCTGTGACAAATTATAACCTAAAAGGATAAACAAAATTTTTGGTCGTCAACAATTTAAAACACAAGTTTGTGTATTAAATTAGTATCGTTTATTGTTTGTAAAATATATTCCTGTTCTGACAGGATTGCACTTATAAAAATTTGCAAAACGTAACATATGGTGAAATATGGTGACTATACTAACTTTGTAATAAATTTTGTATTATAGGTAATCTTACGTTAATTTTGTTTTCATTTTTTGCTGCATGAATATTATATTATATGTACTATTTAATTATGAATATTATTATACATACTACCTTATATGGTTTTCGTACCTATATTTATGTTTGTATCGTACATTCATTAAAAAAAATTTTTTTTTTTTTTCATGTAAATAATTATGTTGTATTTTTAAAATTTCTGTTAAATAAAATTCTTACTGTGATGTTTGTGATTGTGCTGCTCAAAACAAAGAAAGACCACTTCCTGAATTTTGACGTTTATCAAAACAACAAATGTTGAACAAAAATCATGACATTTATTACAAATAGCCATAAAAAAGCGAGTGCGACAGTATTAGCTTAGTTAACGTACTAAGAAAGATGTAGATGATGAAAAAAAAAATTATAACATCGATTTTAAATTTTATAGGCTGCCATGGATATAAGCCTCAGCTATATCCAAATGTGACCGAGTTACAGATAAACGAAGGAGAATCTCTGAACATTACATGCATAAGCTATGGCTATGTTAATTTCTATTTTCCCACCAACAATTCATGGGGTAGAGTAAGTTGAATGACTTCAATATTTGATGTACACATAGGTTGTAAAAAAGCCCTTTTTATAATACGATAACCACTAATTTTAACGTTAAAAAAAGACAACCTCTCAACCCGATGTTGTACCAGAAGGCAGGAGCACCAACAAGACATTTATAAGATCATCAGCTGTTTTCGGAGACACTGGCTGGTATTGTTGCGCTGATGAAAGCAAACAAATAACAAACTTGACAGACAAAAATTACAACGATCCAAAAGTTACTTGGATGTATGTTTATGTTAAATGTAAGTTTAAAATAAATTTTAGCTCTTTGTTTTTTTCTGTATTTATTTTTTTTTTTTTTATGCAGAAAGATGAATTAGTAGTATGCTGCTGCACAAACATTATATTTAAAATAATTTTTTTTAATTTGTAGCCAATAGACACCGATTTGTGCATGCACATAAGAAAGGGCATTATTTACTGGCTTCTGGATGTGATAAATACATAATTTTTCCTTGCCAGACGACTTCTCCTGAATTTAAAGTTATTTTAAAAAAAAATGGAAACGTAATATTTCTCTATTAAAGTGTTTATCTATTAAATGAGGATAGAAAATTAAAAACAATATTTGTATTATTTTAGGTAGTTAAACATGACGAAAAGACTATTTTTGATCCAAAAATTGGTTATATCATCAAGGAAAGAATAATTCCATACGTTAGTGTATTTACTTGCTCAGTGGAGCAGAAAAATTTGTCATACACAATTAATTTGCGAGTTCGAGAATTTGTACTTTATGCCTGTATGAGATTGCCGGAAATAATCATGGATGGTCCAAAAGACATTGCGGAAGGCTCGACATTAAGTGTTAAGTGTACATTCAGAGTGAAAAGAGAAGCCACTTACAACATTTTTTGGAATATTCCGCAGAACACGGTAATTTTAAATACCTGTATATTATTAAATTCATTTTAATAACGACACAGGTGTGCATATAATATTTTCGACAAATTTTCTAAATAATACACTATTTACGTTTAATAGACTTCTAGGATAATTTCAAACACTATTCGAGAAAATGTTAATCAGTTCTACATAGAAGATGTAATAATGTCTGAGCTTATTATTGACAATGTTACATTCGAAAATACCGGGAATTACATATGCCAAATAGAATCATCGTATAATGAAACAAAAAGTACTAAAGTACATATTTGTGTATATGGTAAGTCTTGGTCCTCTACTTTTTGTTCACTTCTTTGAAATGATTATTAGGTTTTTAGAAATGTATTTTGACAGATTCTAACCATCCCTACATTAGTCTGACATCTGTTGAGAGAAAAGTATCCAGATTATATGGTGAATCTGTAACTTTCTTGGCTAATGTCTCTGCATGTCGACAACCTTTTTTACAGTGGTAACACATTCAGTTGTTTTTAACATTGGAATCGATGAGCATAAGATTTATATGTACTTTGTCTTATTAAAAAGTATATTGCTTTTTAGGGTAGATAATTATGGTGTCATCCCTGATGTTTTAGAATATTCTGGGAGCTTGATATCAACATTCTGCTACCAAACAACGTGTAGCTTACGCATAGATAATATTTCCATTGTCAATGATGGGATTTATACTCTCACAGCTGAAAACATTGTGGGAAAAAAGAACATAACGTTTCATCTTCAAGTTGTTGGTAAATCAGATAATTTTGGCACAAAAGTATTATTAACATTTAGATTTGCACGAATTTTGAAAGTTTTAATAATTTATTAATTTAATGGTTCAAAATGTCTCGCTTTCTTGAGCTGGAAGCTAAAAGCATTGTACCATATGTTTATAACTAATGTATCAATATCAAGAGTATCAGAAAATACTTACTTATTTAAATTTACTTATATTTTGAGACAACTAAAAAGCCATAATGTGTAACGCATTGCACACACAATTAATTTTATGTTTCACTAAAAATATGTGGTATGATGCTTTCAGCTTTAGACTAGTGTATTTTAATTTTTTTTTAGAATTTACCTAATTTTGAGTCATTTTTATTAAGCAGTACTGTATTACACCTATTTCAATACATTTTGCTGCCACTCACACTCTTCTTTACTAAAATGATTATAATATCTTACTGCTTGTAGATAAGCCAGGCGTAAGGTTTGATCAAAGTTATTTAAAAAAATACTACAGCTACAATGAGACTGCGACGTTTGTTTGCCTTCTCAAAAGTCGCTTGGAATATAATGTATCGTGGAGTTATATCAGTCACCCGACAGAGTCTACACATGTTGATGAATCATCTAAACTACAGGTTTGTTTGTCTTAAAAATGGGAGTTTTTCAATTTAAATTAATCATTTAAACTAATAACTAAAGTTGTGTAAAATAATTAATTTGCGTAGAAGCGTGATGAGTCAAGTTTGATAAAGCAGACGATGCCTTGGCGACCACGCTATTATTCAATTCTGATTTGCATACTCGAATTTCCGAAATACGATAAATTATATTATATAGCTTTACCGGAAAATAAAAGCTAAAAAGACGTTAGAATAATGAAAACGAGATATTCATATTCATGTTGTATTTCATATTCTAGTGGGACTTACGTACAAAAACTTTTGGAAAAACTTAAACTAACTAACCATTTTTTTCCAACTTAACATCCGTTTTTCAAATCATTGTCATTTATAGAAACACAAAAACTATCACTACCACTACCACCTCTAGTGACGGTGCATACCTTAGAGTTTGTGCATGTATATGGAATAGGGAAAAGACAAAAGCTAGAAACTTAAAGTTACTTTCACAACTTTCTTTTATTTTATAACTCTGAGGCAATACACACACTGAATCTGCACGAGGTAGCAGAAATTAATTCTACCCACTGCGTCTCCGTTGAGGCGGAATAAAATTCACTTGTGGAGGACCGCGAGATAGCAGATACAGGTTCTCAGTACATAGTCAACCGTTCGCGAAAAAAAAATCGCTTCGTGGTGAACCGTGAGGTAGCAGAGACATAATCTAACTTTTTTTTATATTATGGTGCTGTACATTCCCTACTTGGTCGTCAACATCGCACTGGACGGGAATTTAACATCGGACCGATCCACGAACAAGCTGATTGAGGCACCTAGCAGAATTCAAAATCGTTCATTATTTCGATTAATTGCTTGGTTTGATAAACGGTCGAAGCGGTACAATATACTTAAATTAGATACAATGAATTAAGTTAACTAACAGCAATAACAGTGGCTGTGATTATGTTACTTATGGTTATAATAGTATAATAATTGTATTAATAATAGTAATAATAATGATTATGATGATAATAATAATAATAATAATAACAGAATAAAAGTAGTTATAATAACAAAGATAAAAATAATTATAAGAATATTAATAGTACTGCGCCTGTCGCGAGCCGACGGCTTTTCTTTTTAATTGTTAACATAATTAGATGTACGGGCGATTTCGACTGACCACATTAGTGCAAAAGTAATCCAGAATGTTTGGTAGAATTGTGATCAGCTTATTTTTCACTGATTGTTATCAAAGAGGAAGTTGGGTTATCGTGCTCCAGGGGTTTAGAAATTCCGTTACCTATGTTAGAGGCAGCAGCACGGACTCTCTTTGTACGTCTCTGAGCCAGGCGGAGGAGAAAGGGCAATAGCTAAATTGACATTCCCACCCTCCTGTACACATTAAAAAAGTAGCAAAATTAGGATATTGCAGATGGTTTACGAAATCGGAAGTCTAATGATAAGAGTTACACGAAAAATTGTACATCTGTAAAAATGAAGGGTTGGAATAGAAAAATCGTATTTTTATGCTCGATTTACTATAGTTAACACTTTTATATATAGCTGCTGCCTGCAGTAGGTCTCATGAAGTTCGTATGCAGGTGTTTGCTTTTACTACTTTACGTAACTATATTATCATTTTATCTTGGTCTACATGTTTAAGTCTAAATTACTTTAAAGTTTAATCTTTTTTATCAGTATCGATGTTTCAAGTAAACTTTTGCATCAATTGGCTTCTAAAAATTATCACATTTACTTATTTAAAAAAAAAAATTGTTTAATAAACTCTCAATTTCCAGTCAGCATAGGCCAGCGTGCATATTCATGAGTTATGTACGGTCCGAGGTATGGTCTTAGTACAGAAGTTAAAAGTGAACTCGTAAATGATTCACATCTTTAAAGATGTAAGTTGGTCCGTGCTTTAAATGCTTTTAAAATCGGCATGGGAAATTTTGAAGGAATAGAAAAAGTTATTAGTAGATAGATCATGATAGTTAACTGACATTGCTGTATAAATAACATGTAGGGGAAGTAACAGTTTTTCCTAAAATTTTTGTACGTGAAACCCCACTACAACCAAAAAAACTTAACGTTTTGAAATTAATCTCATATTTTTGCAAGTTAAAAGATATTTTTTCTAAGACTGTCTCCTGCATTTCAGTACTAACAAGTAACATGCAAAATTATTGAAGGAAATATGTAAAACGACATAGTGATTTTGCATCCTAAACATGTAAACGATTTGCAATTTATTTAATAATGTATTTTATATTATAATATGTAATTATTCATGAGTATCGTTATAATTTTTTTTTTTTCAAACAACGTGAGAAAAAACGCATGATTAAAGTAAAAAACATAAGTTATCTGTTAGTTAGTCACTTTCTTTTTTTTTCTGTAACTGTGTAGTCATAACACATTTGTTATTATTCACAAGTTATTAAAGTTCATAATGCACGTACTTAAAAGTAGCATGTCAATCTTGCCTAACATTTTACTTTTGGTAAAAGGTCAGTTGTGTGAGGTTGTAATTTCAATTCAAATAAAGTATTTAAAGGATACCAAGGCCGATGAACAAAGCAACAGTGCTGAAAATAAGTCAATGGTTACGTTAAGACCTCAAGCAGAGTCAACAATAAAATGCATGGCTTGCAATAGTTATGGATGTAACGATGTAAAATATGATATTCATATCACAGGTTCGTCAGTCTAAACAAACTATCTGCATCAAGTTTTTAGAGTAATGAAAATTTGTGGTCAGAAAAATTTAATGTTCATACTTTTATTTAAAGATGGAATCCCCAATAAGTCTTATGGAATTATAAAACCAAAAATGAAATTTCGTGAAGGTCAAAATATTTCTTTAGTATGTACTGCTGTCATTCGTGAATTTTTTGCAGTAGCATGGTATGATGATAGAAGACATAAAGTTGTAGATTCTGGTCAGTTCTAGACCAAAGTTATAAAGAAACTTATTGAAATTTTAAGGGTAGCTAAGTGTGTTTGAATTTTACTCATTCAAAATTTATGATGTTTCAGTAAAAATTCACGTCACGTTCAGAAAAACTAAGTACACTCACCGTGCCATCTTGTCGATTAATAATTTAAGTCGTTTTGATGAAAGGGATTATTACTGTTTATTTAGAGATGCATACGACTCAAATTATATCGATAAATATTCTCTTAAGATTAACGGTACGTATTAAAAAAAATTTTCTCTAAAATGATTGCACGGCAGGGCTTTTTGTGCATAGATGAATCACTTTTTATCTTTGTTTCGGGTGATATTTTTGTTCGTAGTTCCAGCTTACTTAGTTCATGGAAATATAAATAACATTGCCATAACACGATATGCAATAGATCCAGAGAATCCTGTCTATTTATCATGTCATTTCGAAGGAATTCCAGCACCTAATATCACGTGGTTTAAAGACGGTACATCTTTATCGTCATCGAAGCAGTTTAGTTTAGAGGATGGAAATCAAAAGTTAATTATACGATATCTTTTGGAACGTGATGGTGGTGACTATTCATGTGTTGCAGAGAATGGCTTTTGGCCAGTAAAAAAATCTCAAACAATTATTGTCAAAGGTAACAATTATCGATACAAGTAATTGTGATGTTTATAACGAAAAAAGTATTTTACATTATTGATGTACGGGGCAACCTTACTTGTCACTTTGTTTTAAAAAACTTTTGTGAAGAAAATTAATAATTGCAATACATTTAATGATATTGTTAAGTTTGAAATAAAGTTGTTCATACTTTCTGCTAGTAAATCGAATTTTTGTTGAGAAAAATTAGTAAATTTATGCTATGACTCCCCTTAAAATGTTGTTTTAAATTGAAAATTTTATTTTCCCATATTTTTATAACAAAATGTTGTAGTTGATTTTCCTAATCATAGAAGTATTAAACCATATTACTGACTTAAAATAATGATAGTATTTGTAAAATAATTGTATTTGACTTCAGGAAATCGAGAATTTTACTTGGTGATTGCGATGATAGTGTGGTTTATAACAATTCTTATTTCTCTTTTAATGTACTTTTATTTGAAAACTCAACATGCGAAGGTAACTAGAAAATTTTAGATGTTTCTTAAGAATAAAACTTGCCAACATAAAATATTTTTATCACTGAATCAACAATAATTCCAAGTTTAAAGAAAAACAACTATTAAAAGCTGGCGATACGCATTTTAAAGAAGGAGCAGTTGATTTAATAAACCCAGAGTTAACCATAGACGAACAAGCAGAACTTCTTCCTTACGATATTAGATGGGAGTTTCCTATTGAGAAGTTAAGATTAGGTAAAAATTATAAATTTTTCTACTGCCACTCAAAGACTATGAAAATAAACATTTAAGTGATCCATAATAATGTAAAACAACCCATTCATTCAATTAAACATAAGCAATTAGGAAGTGGGGCTTTTGGAGTTGTGTATAAAGCAGAGGCCTATAGGATTCTCCCTAACGAGTCGGTTACAACGGTAGCTGTGAAAACTATTCGCAAAAATGCAGACTTAATGTATATCAGTGCAATGGCAGAGGATCTTAAAATAATGGTTTATTTAGGACAACACTTAAATGTTATAAATCTTCTAGGCGCTTGCACCAAAAATATAGCCAAACGTAATAATTTGCGAATAACTGTTCAAAATATTGGTATAAATAAAAAGGTAAGAATTTAACTGCTTTAACTTCTTATTTAAATTTTAGAGCTACGGTGTGTTTTATTGACAAAAATTATTTTTGATTTTATTAAAGCGTGACCCTATTAGTCCCTTAGGACTCAAGCAGATACATGAAATCGCGTAAAACGTATTGCTTATTGGATAAAATTACAGGATCAGGGAAAGTTAGGTAAAGTACGCTCTCTGCAAAAAAAATCGTCATCGTGTACGTGTGAAAGAAAAATACGTGCATAAGTGTTATCAAACCAATCACAAACAGCAGTGAGTTGGCAAAACACATGCTCTTTCGCACTTGCTTGTGGCAAAAATAAAGTTACGTGCACATTTTTTTACTCATGTGCACGATGACGAATTTTTTTTGCGTATAGCGTAAATAAAGTACGCAACCTGTAAATACAGTCAGTAGCTAATGTCTACAATAACAATCAAAGAGTCAATTGTATAATTAATTAGATTTTTGACACCAATATAAACAAATCCTAAGACCTTTGAAAAATTATAGAAAGTCTTATCGACCTTTGCAATAACCCAATATCGCAAAGAAAAAGTAAGAAGTGTTATGATTGAACTGTATGAAATTTGTATACGGCAATCCATATTGACACCTTAACATAAGAGATGACAAAAGTTTTTTGAGGTAGCTCCCTTGTCTACATATGATAATGAAAAGTTTAACAGTAATATTAACAAAACCCAAGTACAGCCAAGTGTAGCCTAGGCAGCCTAAATCCAAATGCAGTCGACCACCCATACCTACATAGACATTCATGTACACCTAGCCAAAGTACATTTCTACATTCTTCGCGTACACGGAGTACTTGTTATACAGTCGAAAGCAAATTATCTTATTACTCTTGATAAGAGTCTCCAGAGGTAAAAGAGAAGGCTAGTGAGGATATTCAGTAGAAATGTTCGTCTTTAAAAATTAGCGCAAGTCAGTGACAAAAAATAAGGAGCTGAAACAATTTTTACTTTTTTTTTTTTAAATNAAGCTGGCCATACGCATTTTAAAGAAGGAGCAGTTGATTTAATAAACCCAGAGTTAACCATAGACGAACAAGCAGAACTTCTTCCTTACGATATTAGATGGGAGTTTCCTATTGAGAAGTTAAGATTAGGTAAAAATTATAAATTTTTCTACTGCCACTCAAAGACTATGAAAATAAACATTTAAGTGATCCATAATAATGTAAAACAACCCATTCATTCAATTAAACATAAGCAATTAGGAAGTGGGGCTTTTGGAGTTGTGTATAAAGCAGAGGCCTATAGGATTCTCCCTAACGAGTCGGTTACAACGGTAGCTGTGAAAACTATTCGCAAAAATGCAGACTTAATGTATATCAGTGCAATGGCAGAGGATCTTAAAATAATGGTTTATTTAGGACAACACTTAAATGTTATAAATCTTCTAGGCGCTTGCACCAAAAATATAGCCAAACGTAATAATTTGCGAATAACTGTTCAAAATATTGGTATAAATAAAAAGGTAAGAATTTAACTGCTTTAACTTCTTATTTAAATTTTAGAGCTACGGTGTGTTTTATTGACAAAAATTATTTTTGATTTTATTAAAGCGTGACCCTATTAGTCCCTTAGGACTCAAGCAGATACATGAAATCGCGTAAAACGTATTGCTTATTGGATAAAATTACAGGATCAGGGAAAGTTAGGTAAAGTACGCTCTCTGCAAAAAAAATCGTCATCGTGTACGTGTGAAAGAAAAATACGTGCATAAGTGTTATCAAACCAATCACAAACAGCAGTGAGTTGGCAAAACACATGCTCTTTCGCACTTGCTTGTGGCAAAAATAAAGTTACGTGCACATTTTTTTACTCATGTGCACGATGACGAATTTTTTTTGCGTATAGCGTAAATAAAGTACGCAACCTGTAAATACAGTCAGTAGCTAATGTCTACAATAACAATCAAAGAGTCAATTGTATAATTAATTAGATTTTTGACACCAATATAAACAAATCCTAAGACCTTTGAAAAATTATAGAAAGTCTTATCGACCTTTGCAATAACCCAATATCGCAAAGAAAAAGTAAGAAGTGTTATGATTGAACTGTATGAAATTTGTATACGGCAATCCATATTGACACCTTAACATAAGAGATGACAAAAGTTTTTTGAGGTAGCTCCCTTGTCTACATATGATAATGAAAAGTTTAACAGTAATATTAACAAAACCCAAGTACAGCCAAGTGTAGCCTAGGCAGCCTAAATCCAAATGCAGTCGACCACCCATACCTACATAGACATTCATGTACACCTAGCCAAAGTACATTTCTACATTCTTCGCGTACACGGAGTACTTGTTATACAGTCGAAAGCAAATTATCTTATTACTCTTGATAAGAGTCTCCAGAGGTAAAAGAGAAGGCTAGTGAGGATATTCAGTAGAAATGTTCGTCTTTAAAAATTAGCGCAAGTCAGTGACAAAAAATAAGGAGCTGAAACAATTTTTACTTTTTTTTTTTAAAAATATCTCGAAAAAAAGACTCACTACATAAACTTTGCAACGTGGCATTTGAAACAAGAACAATTTTTTTATAAGGACCTAATAATGGTTTTGCTCAGATAATCCAATTTTCTTTAGAAAATTCATGACTCAATTATTGTCTAATACTATTCAATAATGGCATGTGTTGGAAATTAAGACTTTAAGTAAAAATTTCTCAAAATTGAGGGGAGGCTTGGAGTATAAAAGAAACATGAATGAATTTAATGGATCAAAATCCGTTAATTAAAACATATGTTATTACGTATAATTTCGCAAGGAAGCCTCCTTAAGTAATCTTTTGTTCTGGTACTGTATTGTTGACGATGTGATTCGATATTGGACTGGAACTGAAAGACAATAAGATGTTTTTTCATTAATATCAATATCTCATATAAAAACAATTACTTATAATATAATGATCCATTAACCTGTATTAAACATTTAACATTGACCGTATTACATACTATGTTTTACATAACAAATTACTTTATCCTTAGTATCACATAATGTCTTTACTTTACAACTGGATTTACATCAATTATAAAACAAACTGTGCATAATAACGAATATGATACTGATAATATAGATGATTTACTTGAAAATAATACGAATTACTTTATCATTTCTAACAATTAGTAATGTTCACCCTGTGTCCAAGAAAGAATAAAATTTGGCAGGTTGTTAACTACGTATTTAGTTCTGGAACTTATTAAATACATTAAACAAAACACAAAACTTGGTTTGGTAACCTATAAATTGTAAATGTCACGAACGAAACAAATTTTTTTGGCCTATAGAACAAGACACGAGATCTATGAAAGTTTATTTACCGCCTTGTCTGACAGCAGTCCAAACGATAAGCACACCATTCACTATTCAGAAACTTCGAAATTCAGCGGCCTGATTGAATCCAGTGATGATTTGATGAAAGAAAGGCAAGCACTTATCATATGCATACATATAGAAATTTTACGGTTACGTATTTATAACTACTTATTACCTAACTGTTGTTTTATGATGCTTATTCTTTTTACAGGTGCTGCACTGTGATTTGGCTGCAAGAAATATACTGTTAGCAGAGAAAAACATCGTCAAGATCTGCGATTTCGGTTTAGCCAAGACATTGTACAAAGACGAAGACTATAAGAAGCAATGCGATGGGAAGTTACCTATAAGGTGGATGGCCATTGAGTCCATCAGAGACGGGGTATTTTTAACTATGTCGGATGTGTGGTCATTTGGTGTAGTACTCTGGGAATTTTTCTCTCTTGCACAAATACCATATTAAGGCGTAGGGTTTGAGGTGATGTTTCAGAAATTAATTAGGGGATACAGAATATCTAAGCCCACTTATGCCACCGATGACATGTAAATAAAATTTGTTATTATAAGTTCGTATTTGAAAAGCCGTTAAGTACTTAATTCGTTTACTTTTTTTCTTAGACATAATATTATGCTCCATTGCTGGGAGGAAGAGCCGACATCCAGACCGTCTTGTACAATGCTGGTTGAAATAATTGGAAAACTTTTACAAAATAATACCAAAACCCATTCTCTAAGAATTTATCATAACTATGGAAATTTCGATAAAGAACGCCAGTTGGAAAAAAAAGATGACAATCAAGCAACAGCATCATTTTCTGAAGATATGATAATTCCGCTCTACTGGCACCGCAATTTATTGTTGCGTGTAAAACTAACAAAGGTTCATGCTTATGTCATATATCTGGTATATAATGCAAAAGCTCTAAATAAATATTTTATAAAATTTTTGAAGCCATTAAATGACTATTTTTACTGAACCTATCAAATTTACAATCGCTAAGGTTACAAGTAATCGAATAATACAATAGTCGCAGCTCAGTAACTGGACGACGCTCGTAGAAACAACGAAGAAGAAGAGACTTATAACAAGGGCAAGGAACAAACAGCGGATGGTAAGTTTTCCTTTAACATTGCCGTGTAAACTATCTTGATTTCTATTCAGCAAATCACAATCATACAGCTATAAATAGTGCGTGACAAGCAATATTCAATGTCTAGTGTCTCTACAGACTTTATGTATGGTTTTTCGATTATATGATTGATCACTGCTATAAAGTGCATTCATAGGCTTTACACAAATAAACGATAAAACTACACATCAAGTAATTTCAAGACATTCCTTACATTTATTTACACTGTTTATGGCTTAGGCCAAAGTCGGGCTCCAACTTTCTAAGCCTCAAATATTTGACCTACGACTTAGACACACCCTATATTGTTAGCTATGTCAAGCTCTCAAAGATGGAAGGACCCACTGACTCATTTACGGTGGGCAAAACTACTCACTCTTCTTGTCATAGTGTCAGGTACTTATAAGATTATCTTTTTTACATCTAAATACATAACTATCACTCTTATTTTCCTCGCGGTATTGTTTACAAATTTATCTCAAAATCAATACTGTAATTGCAATCGGTTCTGATACTGCATCAGCTTTTGCACTTTAATTCATTTTTTTTGTTACAATCTTTGAGTCTTTCTTTCACACTGTAATTCAATAGATGCATGCAATAGACATGTGTATCACCACTATCATTAACATCTTTGTATGAATATCATGAATATTACAGTTTGATTTTACTGATTTAATCATCTAAAATACTGATTGACTGATAGTATAAAATCTTCAAAAACCTCTCTTTTGTGCCCAGTTGTAGCTGCTTGGCTATTGGTTAACGATATTGTGTATTTATTTTTTGTTATATTTTGAAATATTAAATGGTTAGGAATCATTTATGTTAACAAGTTTACGATCTGAATCGTAATTAAAATATATAAGGATAAGATGGCGTGACATTTACTTAAGTTGGCTCCAACGTGTATTGATACATAACGTAGGGTCAGTTAACATGGAACTTTAATTTTGTAGTACTTGCATAATTAATAATGTATCTGTATATATATTAAATTTAATATATATTAAAAATATAATGATAATAGTATAACCTTTTTTCCCTGATTTGGGAATAGATGGATTGTTTGGACATTGTTGATTTTATAAGTCGATATAATTTCGCTCTTCAAGATTAACAATGGCCAAACAATTTATCTACTATCAGATAAAGTTAATATTCCTAATTTTATGTAATATCCGATAGTTTTCGTAGTGATTTTTCAATCAGTATCAGTTAAAATTCCACATTACAGTAGCCTTTTCTGCAGGTAAATTATTACCTTCAACCATAAAGAAAAATGTATTACAACTTTTATTTTTTATCATTTGCCATGAAAAAGTGTGTGTACAGTTTCGAATTAACATACTGCATAAAATGAATTAATAAGTGCATTAACTCATATTACTTTTCACTTTTGTATGGCTTTTAGCTGATAATTGTTATATTTTTTCCAAATATTTTCTTATAGTGTCGATGTGAGAAATGAAATGCTTAAATTTTAATTTAGTGTATTATTTTATCTAATGTTACTGCTTGATTCGTAGATAGCTACAAAATAAAAGAAATAGCTCTACTATCAACGAATAAAATAAAACTCATCGAATGTTGGATAGAACACAGATTAAGGTTCTAAGGCCATTGAGTCAGTTGAATACTTATTATACGCACGTGACCAAAATAATTAATTTCTATCTAAATTTATCACCAATGTG